TGATTCATTTCACTCATGTCTGACGGGTTCATCCATATTGTGAGATGTTTCACAGATTGATCATTACCGGACAAGGTGGTGTGCGAACACCTGCAGTTCCTAAGTCATGACGTCATTCACGCTGAACCGTTTGAAGAGCTGTCAGGCTCTTTCCAGGGTGGCGGCACCATTTGACTAGCAGCGTGTACATGCTCTTGTTCTGCCTCATCCTCACCCACGTGCTAGTGTCTGATTTTATTATTATTATAACCACCCTAGTAGGTGAGAAGGAGACTGGATGCGTGGTGGATATGCGTTGGGTTGCAATCTGGAAGGTCTGCAGTTTAAACCCACCTGACAGGGCTTTCTGTTCCTGTAAACAGTCACAGTCTTGGAAACCCACAGGGGCAGTTCTACCCTTCTTCTAGGGTTGCTCTGAGTTGGCACCGACTTCATGGCAGTGAGTTTGTTTGTTTGTTTGTTTGTTTGTTTCAGTAGGTGATACCTAAGGAGCCCTTGTAATATAGTAGATACATGTTGGGCTTCAATCTGAAAGGGCAGCAATTTGAAACTACCAGCTGCTCCTTGGGAGAAAGATGGGGCTGTGTATTCCCTTAAAGAGTTACAGTCTTAAAAACTCACAGGGACAGTTCTACCCTGTCATATAGAGTCACTATGAGTTGGCATTAACTCAATGACAGTGAACTTGGTTTTTTAGTAGGTGGGAAGTCATGTCTCCTTGTGGTTTTAATTTGCATTTCCCAAATGGTTAGCCATACGTCTTCAATCTGTATGCTGAGCAAAAAATTTGAGAAACAGTACTACATGAAGAAGAAAGAACATGGCATCCAGATTGAGGGAGGCTCATTAAGTCTGGAATATGTCGATGAAATGAAAGAGGATTTGGAGATCCACGACTATAATCTTCAGTATGGATTCCACCTCAATATAAAGAACACAAAAATCCTGGCAACTGTACCAATAAATCACATCGTGATAAATGGAGAAAACAATTGAAGTTGTCAAGGATTTCATTTTACTCATGGGAATGCTCGTGAAAATAGCAGTCAAGAAATCAAATAGTGTATTGCATCGGATGAAACTGCTGCAAAAGACTTTGTTTTGAAGTGTTAACGAGCAAAGATGTCACTTTGAAGACTAAGGTGCCCCTGACATAAGCCTTGGTATTTTTAATGGCCTCATAGCATGTGAGAACTCGACACTGAAAGTTCCTGTTGTTGTTAGGTGCGGTTGGGTCGTTCCAGTCCATAGCAATGCTGTGCACAACAGAACAAAGTATGGTCCGGTCCTGCACCAGCCGCCCAGCTCTTCCTGTGCTTGAGCCCATTATTGCAGTCACCGTGGCAACCCATCTCGTCGAGATGGACAATGAATAAGGATGATTGTGGGGAACAGAAGGATTTCTCTTAAGTTGTCTCCCCAAAATATATGCCAGACTTAGCTTGAGAATGACTGTTCTTTAGGCAGTGAAAATAGGTCAGAGGTTATTCTCCTTAACATCAGCCATCTAGAGCGGCCAGACTGTATAGTCTGACTCACCCCAAATAGGGCCCATTCCCTTCTGACATTGTTCCCTTGAAGCAGTGCCCAAAGGCAAGCCCGGGACCACTCTAAGATGATTAGGTCATCCCCCTCTTATTGCTTGTATTGCCTATGTTACACACCTCTCTATGACGTAGGTTGTTATCTGCTATCAGGGGGCTTGCATGCCTCCCAGGATAGTAATTGCCTGCTTTACTGTATGTGACACCAGAATGATCAAACCTGTTCAAGGATGAATTGTACTGCCCCTTTCTGTGATGCATAATGCTGTGATGTATCCCCCTAAAGTAATATGATGGGTGGTTAGCAATAAATAAGGAGGCTCCTTGCTTCTCGGGAGGGTGGCTGGCCAAGGGTGGCTGGCCGAGGGTGGCTGGCAGGGGGCGGCTGAGGAAGGAGGGCTGCTTCCCATGAGGGGCTACTCCCATGAGGGCAGTGGACAAGAGGGCAGCTCTCGCGAGGGAGGCGGCTCCTGCTCTGGCAGCCGGGTTCCCCCTACGAGGACCACCAAGCGGGGCGGAGGTGAGCAATGCTACCATGTAATATGTCTGACTGTATTATTGTATTATCTCTCATGTTCTCGATGACTTTAATATAATGCTTATATATCTCAACCGTACAAGTGTGCATTACTGAACCCAGAAGTAGTATTACTGAACCAGTGAGTTCTAGTAGCGGGTGGGGCTGGCACCCCACTCCCTCGGCGTCATTTTTAATGTAATACTACAGATGATCAAAGGATTTATGCATTTGAATTATGGTGTTGGTGAAGAATATCTCAAGTACCTTGGACTGCCAGGAGAATAAACAAACTGTCTTGGAAGAAGTACGACAAGAATGCCCCTTGAATTGAGGATGGTGAGACTTCATCTCATGGACTTTGGACATGTTTGTTGTCACGAGGGACCAGTGTTTGGAGAAGGGCATAATGCTGGGGAAAGTAGTAAAAGAGAAGGACCCTCAAGGAGACCGGTTGGCATAGTGGCTGCAGCAATGGGCTCAAGCATAACAGGACCGGGCAGTGTTTCCTCTGTTGGATATGGGTTGCTATTAGCTGGAACAGACTCGACTCCACCTAACCAACACTGGCTACTGACATGGAGCATCTTTTCACGTGCTTATCACGCATGGGAGCCCTATATACTGGGCTGCTAACAGTCAGTTCAGCAGTTCAGCAAGGTCAGCAGTTTGAAACCACCAGTGGCTCCTCAGGAGAAAGACGAGGCTTTCTGCTTCCGTAAAGATTTACATTCTTGGACATGCACAGGGGCCGTTCTGTTGTGTCCTATGAATCGGAATCGACTTGATGTTAGGGAGCCTATCACCCATGACCATATCTTCTTTGGAGAAATGTTTATTCAGATTCTTTCCTTACGTTTTAATTGAGCTATTTGTCTTTTCAGTGAGTTGTAAATGCCCTTTATATAGTCTACTATAAATCCCTCATCAAATAGATGATTAACAAAAAATTTATTTTTAAATTTTGTGATTGTCTTTTTATTTTCTTGATGTTGTCCCTTGAAGCAAAAGCATTTTCCATGTTGGAAACGCCGAATTTCTCAATATATTTTGTTGTGGCTTGCGCTTCTTGCCAAAGCCAAGATCATAAAACTTTACATGCATGTTTCTTTCCAATGATCTTATCATTTTAACTCTTTTTTTTCTTCATTTTAACTCTTTAAGTATTTAATTTATTTTGAATTTTTTTGGGGTAAATGACATGAAATACAGGTCCAATTTTACCCATATGCATGTGGAGTTACAGTAGTCCCAGCATCATTTGTTGACAACTAGTCCTTCTTTTTAACTATTTTATTTGCATATCATTCAATATTTCAATATAATTTCAATAATTAACATAATTCATATTGACATCATACAATTCAATAATTCAATCACCTTAAGAAGTGTTCAATCATCTCCACAGTTTCAGAAACTTTTCTTCTTTCTTTGTACTCCTTGTTACCAGCTCCTATTTCCCCCAACCTCTCCATACCCCCAAGGAACCATTAATCCAGTTAAACCACCTCTAGATTTACCTACCCTGGATTTCATACACAGAAAGATATTAAAAAAAACCTCACAACAATAACAAAGTAAAACAGATACAAATAAAAAAGAAAGCAGAAAATAGTAAAAACTGAAAACTAGAACAAATTTAAATGGATCATAAAGGAGGTGCTAAATTTTAACCTAACTGCACCTGCAACAATCCGTTTTCCAATGGATTTGGCATAGTGCTTCATTAATTGTTTGTAGTATTAAATTAAAATGGTGTGTGGGGGTGGGTGGGGATCAAGCCCCCACCCGCTACTAGCACTACTAACGGGTTCAGTAAGTACAATTGTACGGTTGTGATATATAAGTATTAAAAGTCATCGAGAGCATGAGCGATATTACAATAATGCAGTCAGACACATTACATGGTAGCATTGCTCACCTCAGCCCAGCTTGGTGGTCCACATGGAGAGAGGGGGAAGGGAAGGAGGGCATGGGAACAAGGGAGAGAGGACAGGAGAAGAGAGGGGGAGCCAAAGAGAGAGGTCAGAGAGATCAGAGTCAGAGCGGTCAGAGAGCTCTATATTGCTGACCCACACCTATATACCTTTTGAGGGCATGCAAGCCCACTAATTACAGGTAGAGACATACGTCACAGGAAGGGGTTACACAGCAATGAGAGAGGGTGGTCTAGGGGGTAGTTTCTGGGTCTCCATAGGAACCATTATCAGTAGGGTGAAAACTCCGCCTACAGGAGCCTGTCCATTGTCCCCAGAGGCAGGGAGCAGGCCCACCCCTGCGGTAGGATGAGACAGCAGTCTGGCAACTGATTGCCCTCAGCGGGGGAATGCCTACGCATCTGACCTCCCCCCACAATTGTTCTGCCCCAAATCAATTGTATACAAGTGAGAGTTTATTCTGTATTGAAAAGAATAACATTGATCTCTGTGTCATCCTTCTACAGGCATCACATTGTCTTGTTTTGTGTGGTCTGTAGTGCACTTTGATGTCAGGATGTTACAGGGTGTGTGAACCCTTTGCCTTTATTGCTCTTCAAGATAGTCTTGGCTTTCTGAGTGACTTGTGTTTTGATGTGGATTTTAGGATTCGTTGGGATTTTGACAGGAATGGCTTCAAATTAGTAGACTAATTTGAGGAGTGTTGTCATTTTAACCATCTCAGTTTTCTGATTCATAACTATGAATGTCTTTCCAGTTTTTTAGGTTTTCTTTAACTTCTTGCAAACAACATTTTGCAGTTTTCAAAGGATGAGTTTTGCATTTCTCTTGGTCAATCTGTTGCCACATGTTCTTTTTCATGTTGTGGCAAAATGGACGTTTTCTAAATTTCAGTGTTTGGATTGCTTACGGTATGTATATAGAAGTACGATAGCTTTTTAAAAAATGCTGATGTTATATCCTGCAACCTTACTGAATTTGTTCACTCCATTGCTTTTTCAGGTCCCATTCAAAATTCTGAAGGACCACGTGCAGGTGGTGAGCTCCTGCCATTTCTGTGTGGATGACACCAAGATCCTCAGTGGTTCCTATGACCGAACTGTGAAACTGTGGGTAGGTGGCCCCGGGTCAGGCCCTCCAGGAGCTAAAACATCTCAGGAGCCTATGTCCCATGGAGTGTCCCCTTGTGCTGAGTTCCTGGACACTCAAAGATCTCCAAGTTCAAAAGGACTTTGAGCAAAGTCCAGGCAGGATGAGCAAAATGAGGCCCACCCCCAGCCGTGTCAAGCTGCTGGTGACACAAAATTAGTGTTGCTGCTACTAACCTGTTCATTTGTAAACAGTGAGAGTAGAGGACAGAGAGCCCTGGGCTGGGAGTTTCCCACCTTTTGTTGGAGGTGGCTCCACATGTGTCTTTGACCCACTTGCATCTCTGAGCTATATCGTTCCTTGCAATCTCCTCTATTGATTTAGAAAGCTCAACTCTATCCACAAAGACTATATGGCCAGACCTGAGTGGACAGAAGATGGCCAGGCCAGGGACCTGCCTGTAACAGGTGGTTGGGAGAGGCCAGCCTGAGCACATGGCAGCGCCACAGTTTCAGGACCCAGGAGCACAGGGGCAGGATTGTGATGGTCAGACATGGTTGCATAAAGGTGGTCACCTGAACCCTTCTGGGTCTTTCTGTGAAAAGCTGGTAGATGCTAGCAGGCCTGTTTGTGAGCATTGCTGGTCAGTGAGGAGGGAGTTAGGAAGGAACTGGACTGGGGTCAGCAAGGACCAGGCCTCAGATGACTGTGTGGCTGGGGCTCTGGCCCACGGGGGAAGACAGGCAGTTGTGAGTTTTCACATCTCCTCTGGCTTCAGGGGCAGGAGAAGGACAGGGAATGAGGCAAGGCTGGCTCCTCAGTTCTAGTTTGGGTGATGCGGTGGAGGATAACCCCTCTGGCTCCAGATGACCCTAGAGGAGTGTATGCAATGCCATCAGTGGGTGCCAAGTGCAGGCAGAGCAGGCAAGAGGTCACCACCAAAATAGGTTGAGACCACATATCTGGGACCCCCATCTGTGTAACCCGACATGACTTCCTGGCCCTCTTTTAGCTTGTGGATACTTCCCAGGACCAACTATGTATTGGGGCTAGTCCAGGGCCTACCTGCTCCATACCAGGCCCCAACAGGCACCCACTCACTCTGCTACTGCCCTATGATCTCCTGGCTGTGAAAACGACACATTTCTTTCTTTTTTTAAGTCATTTTATTAGGGCTCATACAACTCTTATCACAATCCATACATACATCAATTGTGTAAAGCACATTTGTACATTCATT